GAAGAGCTGGTAGGGAGGAGAACCCCACCAGACAGCAGAGCCGGGGGGGTGAGGGGGGGGTGGGGGGTGGTGATGGGCATAGGGATGACCTCGGGCCAGGCTGCTGGAGAGGGAGCTGCAATGCAGCTATTGATACTCACTATCCCACGGCAGCTGCCAGCACAACTAGCTCTACAACTTTCTGGCCTGGGAGCAGCCTGGCAGTACAGTCCTAAACCCGGCTAAGGCTTTTCTCAGCCCTGTGGCGTCCCCCTACAACCAACCAGTGCTTGGCAACTAACCAGGAGCCCCCAGGCCCACACCAAACTGCTGTGTCTGGTGTTCACTAGCAGGGGCTGGAGAGGGGAAGGCTCTTGTGGCAATGAGGTGGGAATCCTAAAGACATCAAGCTGGAAGGGACCACCAGAGGTCACATCTAATTCAACCCTCTGTCTGAGGCAGGATCAGCCCTGTCAAAACCATCCCAGACGCATCCAACGTCCAGCCTCTTAGCAAAACAACACAGTCAGCCCTGATGCAGCACCAGACATCACACCCAAACCTGCCACAGGGAAAGCAGGAAGACTGCAGCAGTCAATGTCCTGCTTTTATAACAGGTGGCTAAGAGAGTCCAGGTTGAGGTTGGGCCTCTGCTACAGAGGAAGGCAAGAAATCCCCCATTCTGTACCAGTCTAGGCAGAGGGGAAAATTCCTTCCTGACCCCAATCAGCATTTGTCTGAGCCTGAGCAGATGGCAAGACCCTCTATCAAAGACCCGCTGGGTTTCAGTTCCAGCAAAAGCACTGGCACATCCCATTCACCATCCCCAGTCTAACTAGATGATCATATAGGGTGCAAAGGACCCTTGGTGATTGCTGACTGGAGATGGGGAATCCTGGAGAGAGTGAGGGAACTACATGAACTTCTGGACTGCTGTGCTCAAAGCCAAAGCTTGGCAGAGACCTGATATTATTCCCACTGCAGAGGGACTAACAGGCAGCTGTTGCTGGAGCTCAGAGGAGGGACTCATACAAGGGTAACTGAGGACAGGGGCTAGTTTAGGGGGGAACCTCAACATTTACAAATGGAATCTGCTCTTGTGAGATTCCAGGAGAGGCTGGATGTTGCTGCGAGACCACGGCCACATGGCTGGATAGGAGAAAACATCTTGCCTCACAATGCAAACAAGCAAGCAGCCAATTTTCCAGTTCCCTTGTCCTGAGGACAGACACAGGCACCAGGAAACTGAAGCTCCAATTTCCCCCCACCTTCCAGGAAGATAGGCAGGGCAGAGCTGCACCTTCAAGAAAAATCGGAGTCTCAGAGATATGTGGCCTTTGGGAAGTGGCAACTGGCTTCGAAGGATGCTACAAAATTTGTTTTGGTTAGTCCATAAGGGGCAACTCTACCGTGGTTTAGGCCTGACTCTAGACTATCACAGTTAACTAACTGCCTCTCTCTGCTCCTGAAGACAGATAGTTTATCTGTGGCCATCAGCCACTCTTAAGACCAGGGTACTGCGAGATCCTCTGAAGTGGACTATACCGTATTAGCGGTAGCATGAGTGTAAAGATTCACAGGAGAAACCCAGAGATTGCCCATAGGAAACCAGTGTCCAAACCCTACAGCCTTGCTGGGGGCTTGCCAAGGTCTTAGCCACAGAAGAATTGCTCTGGGATTTTTCCATAGACAAGAAAAAAGTGCAAGGAAGAGTTGGGATTTGCCAAGGGGGGCCTGGGTCTCAAGAGGGGAGGAACTGCTGCCCTATATGGTCTTTGTACCTGGAGTGCCTTCACTTTAGTCGGCAGCTGAGGCCACCTGGGCCTGTTGTAGGGACCTTTCCTGGTGGCACAGCTACCAAGAAGCTAAGAGTGCCAACTAGCGACATTAGATCTGGAATGGCTTTCTCCATCGCATCTATGATAGATAAACCTCACAGCTACTGCCATGCCAAAGATCTTAAGCTGAGTAAGAGCAAAACCCTGGGTTACACACACCACGTGAGGACCGTTTTCTGAGCTGAAAGAATTGTCTAATGAGGTGCCTGGAATGTAATCTCTTGGAAACCATCTGTGGAAACACTCAGCCAGACCTAATGCTCATGCAGATCTAAGGCCCCAGCTGCAACAGAACAGGGCAAAAACCTAAGAAATGCCACAAGGGCAACAAAACCAAAATGAATGAAAGAGTCCTGGCTCCACCGAGACTCCCCCATTCTCTGGTGTTGCCAGGATGTGACTTTCCTGGCAGGGCTAAGAACAAAGGTAATTGAAAAATGGGGAGCCATGCTTTTCCTGAAGACTTTGGGTTTCCAAGAAGGTTAGACAGAGAAAAGTCTTGAAAACCTGGAGATACAAAGTCCTTTATCAAAGAATCATACAGAAAAGTGGGGCTGGAAGGGACCTCCAGAGGTCACATTGAGTCCAACCCCCTGTCTGAGGCAGGCTCAGTCCTATCCAACCATTCCAGACAAATCCATCATCTAAACTCTCCATAAGACTACCCTCAGCCCTGACACAACAGAGACCTAACACCCAAACTTGCCACAAGGAAAGCAGAGGAACTACTGCAGCCAATGTCCTGCTTCTATGAAATGTTGTCAATAGATGCTCAAGAGATCCCAGGCAGAGGCCATGCCCCTACTGCCGAGGAAAGCAAAACCCTCCCCTGCCAGTCCCTACCAATCTGACCAGGGGGTAAAATTCCTTCCTGACCCCAAATGACCCCTTCCTGGCCTTAATCTGAGCATGACCAGAGAGGCAAGACCCTCTAACCAGGACCCTCTGGGTCTAAGTCTCAGCAGGAGCACTGGTACAGCCTAGTCACCATTCTCAGCCTGGGCTGCAGCCAACACCCAGTGACTCTGAGGGAGGATTAAAAACACCCTGACGCATTTAGCAAAAATTAGCGGGGAAGGGGGAAGGGAAGGAAGAGGAGCAACAAACAAAGTCCAGAAGCTTGGGAAATCCCTGTAGTAAAACACAGGCATTGCTATACCTCAGGGGTTGTCAACCGGCGGTACTTGAGACGGCCCCAAGAGGCACGCGTGGGTGGGCAAGGAGTGCCGCCATGTATTACCCCCCATGCTGCCACGCAGGCGCCGCATACCTGGCCAGGCACGTGGGAGATAGTGGGGGGTGCGAGAGAAGCTTGCGCAAAATGACTGCTCCGCATTCAACTGCACCCCTCCACGCCCCCCTGACAGGGATACACTGGTACAAAAAGTTTGAAAACCCTTGCTATACCTAGATCATCTCTGACCAGCAGCTGTCCAAACTCCCCCTGATCACCTCCAGTCCACCCTTCCCTGGGCATCCCATTGCCTTGCTGTTCTAACAGGAAAGAAGTTTTTCCTGAGATTGAACCTAAACCTCCTTGGCCACCACTTCCAGCCACTGGCTGGGGTCCTCCTCTCCCCAGCAAAAGAGAAGGTGTTTTCCCTCTTCTTCATGTCTGCCCTTCAGCACCTTAGCCCCAAAGCAGAAGCAGTACATCCTGGGACAAGGCGACTTTCCTACCAAGCGTTTCAACGCAGCTGTAAGAGGGATCCTGGCTCGGAGGCCTAGAAACCTGACCACAGACCCATTTTCCTGTCCCAGCGACTGCAGTCAACGAGGAAGCTGTCTGAACAACAGAGCTTTTTCCTAGCACCCGCACCAGTGGTCCTCAACCTCGCTAGACTCTAGGGCCCCCTTGGAAAATGTCAGCTCTGTGCTTTCCCCCTCCTTCCCTGTGGCAAAGACCTGGGATAGACTGCAGTAAGCCAGCAGGGTTGGGACACGGTGGCTTCTATCGGAAACCTCTGGGTTTCTCTTGGATTGCATCGAGGTGCCTGCATGCCGGATGGGGCTACTCTGCCAGGCACCTTGAAAAGGACAGTGGGGCGTCCTTGTGCTGCTTCCCCAGCTGGGAACCACCGGGGCCGACTGGCATGCCCAGACCCCTCCCTGCTAGAACATGGTAGAGAATGCACGAGTTTCTCATGCACGGCCAAAGAAACAGGGGATGCAGGGTCTGTAGCACAGAAGTCACCCGTGCTGGCGACCAGTTACCCCAGGGCTTCTCAGCCAGGCACGGCCGGGGCTGGGAGCCAGGAGCATGGACAGGAACAAACACCCATGTGTGGTTCCCTGGATTGACCCAGAGGATTCCCAGAGAGGTACAGAGGGTCCGAGCCCCTGGCCTGGCCTGGCCTGCTCTGGGTCAACATAGAGCAGCTCCAGGATGAGGGAGAGGCCTGAGATATGGAGGGGCCACGGGGCAGCCCAGGGTGTGCGGGCAGCACCGAGCAACACCCTCAGC